CCTGCCTCTAGCTCCATCTGTTATATCCTCTGTCCATAGCAACTTCTCTTTTTCTCTACTGCTATCACTCTTGTCCTAGCCATCATCATTTCTTAATTGGATTACTCCAATAACCTCCAAATTGGTCTTGTTTTGTCCATTTGGGAATCCCACCATCCATTTTCCACTCAGCAGTTCACTTAAAATCATGTGCCACATTGAAGCATATCCCTAACATTATATTCATCTACAATATTTCATTATATATGTGTATCAAATAAGACCTCTTAAATTTCAAACATTCAAAAACTATGTAGTATAATGAATTTCCATGTATCTATCACTCAGCATCAACATCCACCAACTGACCTGTCTTGCTTGATCACTTCCTTCACTCACTCCCAATTGTTTAAAGAAAATCTTAGACATCATATCACTTCATCTGTAAATCGTTCTGTGTGTATCTCTAACACAGAAAGGCTTTTAAAAAATGTAACCATATTATCATTATCATACTGCAAACTCACTTTCTTAATGTCATCAGCTATCTAATCAATGTCTGATTTTCCCAATTGCATATACTTAAAGATAGTTTGCTTAAGTCAGGATCAAAATAATGTCCATCAGTTGTAATTGGTTGATATGTTTCTTAAGTCTTTTAATCTTTAATTGAGATTCCTTTCAAATGAGTAACCTTTAATTGATTGCTTGGAAGGTATTTTTTGAGACTGACTTCATGAATTCCTATTTTGAATCCTAGTAAGTTTACTATATATTTGTGCATATGACTAAATCCCAATCTTACAAATATTTTAGAAGTAAAAGTACTTGTTTTTCAGGAATTGTTTTGGTTAAGAACTTTGATCTGGTATTTTAGTTTCTCTTGGGAGAGCTTTGACACATCTCACATGAAAACAAGTATTTTATTCTTTCCTTTATTGTTTTAATATTCATTAAAATAAGAATTTAATTGGTGTTGGATATCCTGTGTACTGGAGTCTTGGGGTCTCCTCCAGATATATATGTATGTGTGCGTAGGATGTGGGGTGTGCATACATGCCAGTATACTTCTTAGTAATATGAGAAATGACCAAGCTGGTACTTCTGTGCACTCTACCCTTCAATACCTGAATTCATATAAGGGAGAAAACATAGACCATGAAGTTCCTGTGGCTATTGCCACACCTATGGCCTTCCCATGTTCCCCACTGTCAGCTAGACTAAGCAAACTTGGTTTTACCCAGAGATTTTAATATATTCATACTAGTCTTAGAGCTTATTTCTGTGGCTCCAATTCATGTTGAAAGAATTCACACTCAAGCGGAATCTCCTTTTGGTTGAAGCTTTTGTGTGTTCCACCTGGTCTTCACTGACATTCCACTAGAGGTCTCCCTGGCCTCCCTCCCTCCCTCTGGTAGTGGTGCCAGGAAGTTCAGAGTGAGCAGCCTGTCTTGCTGTCCTTCTGTCAGACACAGCCCATTGAAATCCCGAAAATACCAAGACTGTATGATTTGAAACAGATCTTTTAGAGGCCAATAGTTACCAACAGTTGTTGAAGAAAGAGTTCCTATATAGAGATGAGCAGCATTATGAAACAAAGTCATCTCACTGACTGACCCTCACAGAATTTTGATTAACTTTTATAGAGAAGTTATCCATTTCTTTTAACAGAAAGAAAACCCCAGACCTTGTAGTTTTAATAGTTTTTTTCCAGAGAAATCTTATGGTGTGGACAGTCAGCTATATTTCTTGGAAGTTTCCAATGTTGTTTTTTCAAGCACACCACCAAACATCATTCCAATATCAAATATTCTCTTCTTTGTAGGCTGGTCCAAGACATAGAGTCAGCGAATGTCTCTTCTTTGTGTCCTAAAGAGCCTGGAGGTCTGTCTGGTTTAGGGAAATGTGGGTGGAGTTGGGTGGAAAGAGGCTGGAAAGTTGTCCATTTTGGACCCACTTTGAAAGTTGGATCCTGGAAGATATGGTAGCCAGTGACCTGGCCTTACCCGTTTTGGGAATCTCCTTTTAGCTTTGCCCCCATGGTTCCTTCTCAAATCTGATATTCCTCTATGTTTCTCTTCATCAGCCTTCCACCCCCCGGCCTATAGTCTCACTCTCTTTTATGCCTTTGCTGTTTCTCTGCAGAACACCCTGTAGTATTTGAAGTTCTTGTGGCTACAGCTGCACATGTGGTCTTGCCATGTTCCCCAAACTCAGCCTGGGCATCCTGTGTGTGGCACCAGCCCAGTGGAGTGACTGCTTTTACCCCCCGGAGGGATGGGCTAGAGGTGGTGGTAACCCCAGGGGCCATGGGTGCTTATACTTGTGAATGTCAGGAGGGTGGGGCTGCCCGCGTGGTAGCGGCTTATAGCTTGGTATGGGGCAGCCAATTGGTCCCCTGGAAACGGTCCCTCACTATGGGGACTGGACTGGCTGGCTTCTTTCTGGGGGTTCTTGCAGCATCGCTGACTCTCCTTCTGATTTGTCGACGTCAGCAGCGAAGGCGACAGAGGGAACTTCTGGCTAGAGACAAGGTGGGCTTGGACCCGGGGGCGCCGCCATCTGGGACCACAAACTATAGCCAGGATCCTCCCTCTCTCTCCTGAAGATGAGCGCCTGCCCCTGGCTCTAGGCAAGAGGGGCAGTGGCTTTGGTGGCTTACCTCCACCTTTTCTGCTTGATCCTTGCCCGAGCCCAGCCCATAATCAGTTAACTGGAGCTCCTCTGGCCACATGTGATGAAACACCCATCAAGGGCTGGGAAAGTGACCGCTAGTGTATGACTGGACATTGGAATGGAGTGACCATTGAGATGTTGGGGTCGCTGGGCCTGGAAAACCATCATGGCCTCTGAGTTCTCTTTGTCCTTTGAGTGATCACTTGACTTCAGTGTCAGCCCTCTCTGGCCCTAGATGGGTTCCAGGCCAGGCCTTTGTCTGTGTCCTGATTCCTGATTCCCATGAGAGATCAGAACTTCTCTCTGCAGTGAATCAGGGCTTTTCCCACTCCTGCTCTCTGAACCCGGGTGAGCCCTTCAGTCCTGGCTCATGATTTTGGGCCCATAAATTTGGGGAGGGGCATAGGACATAGCTATGACTTTACCTTCTGGTTGGACCCTGGCCAGAAGGAGGAGCTATGGAGGTGGTTGGAAGCTAATGTGCACTGAGTCCTTGGAGTGGTTTTGCTGATTCTTCCAGTTAGTCTAACTCTGTGGAGAGTGCATGATCCCCTTCCACCGCACTTTTCCTTCTTCCATGAAAGAGCATGTGTATATATGAGTGTTCATAGGACACCTGCCAAATGTGCATGAATGATGGGGCTATTGCTCAGGTGTATTCATCAGGGTAAGGAGGGGTAAGGTTGGGGTGGGGGGGTTGACTGCAGAACTTTATACCCTATAGCCAGTGAAGGAATGGCTTTCTAAAAGGAAATAAACAACTGCCCCCACTCCTCCAATCACTTCTCACAACCCTTCTCTTGAGTTGAGAAACACTCCCAAAGAGGCCTTCTGGGTGGGAAGGGTAGCAGTACATGTGACCCCATATTTCAGTTTTTTTTTGCCTCCTGGCTGCCACCACTGCCATGCACAGCTGCTCTCTTTCTCTGGCTGGAGCGCAGGCTGGACCCCCTTTCTTTTTGGCTCCCATTAAAAATAAGTTTCACAACATTCTAAATATTAGGGAACAACAGAAGGGGATTAGTCAGGAAATACAAGCAGTGTAAAGATAAGTTTGTATTAGTGACTTTACTCAGGTTGAC